CAAAAGAAATTCATTTTTAAATAGTATTCGGTAACCTCTACTTGGGAGATAAAAATCGGCCGATTTTATTTTTTAGCCGGAAATCATCGGTCGTTTCTCAGGCGCAGGGCCTCTTAAGCAAACCACGACGACAACGGCAACGAGAACGCCACCAAACAAAAGGTTTTATGAGTAGAACAATAGCTGTGCACGTGCGTTATAAATCTTTGTACTTTTCTTAGCCGCCCTCTGTACAAAAGCAACGTGAAATGACTAAGTTCTCGCTACTTTGGAGAACGTGAACGACAGCGGCTAATTTTTCGTATTTTCTTTTGGAATTGAACGCTGGCATTACATATTTTAGCTTGAGCAAGCTCTGACACCGATAGGCGCACTAAGCAGATCTAGACGATTGTGAAAACCGAGGCTAAAATGTAAATTCATACTTTACTACGCGTTGGGTTGGCGTCGCCGTCGTCATTGGCTCTATGCTCAGAAGCGACGGCCCAGTGAGCTTTCTGAAGTGTACGGGCATAGAAGAAAAGAGAGGCACAACATAGTGACAAAATATTTAATTCTCTTTCTGAATCACTTCCCTCTCTCGTAATATACGTACTTAACTGGAACATACTTGCGTAATTATTTTACCTTAGATGTACAGATCTACATGTTTCTAACGGTATTTCTTGCCGACTGGCGGATGTTTGGCTCGCTGCTTCGAGAGGGTCTGTGAAATCTTCGAAAGCCTACAGTCATGTGCACTCATGGCATATGCACTCGCTTTCAGATTCAGTATGCTTTTAACCCTGTTATCTTTCTTGGACAAACACGGTTTCTTGCGGGAAAAGACCCGCTGACTTGAGAGTCGTCCCAAAATCCAAACACGTCAATTTCCTCCGCGGAAAGTTGGTAACGAGTTCAAAGCGTTCATTGGGATATCCCTCTTTCTGTACGAGTAGGACGAGCTCCTGTAAAAACCAACAGAACAGTACTCTTTACAATAGCTCCTACACTGGAACAAAAGCTAAGATAAAGTCATCTCTGATGCAGGCGGCTGATCCATAATGGCGATGCTTATCCCAGGTGGGGGTGAGGTTGGGGAACAGGGGAGAGGGGATCGGCACCGACCTCTTGTTTCTTTTACTTCAGGATCCTACCATTTCATTGGTGGTTCACACCTCATCACAAATGTGTCAGTGATGTTGGAATCCCATTTAATCACCACCCCCCTCCGACATGTTCTCCTGCCTCCACCTTTATTTTAGCAAGACTTTTATTTATGAACTCACCTTTAAGGATGCTTCAGCACTCAGAGATATGTGAGTTCGAGATCCATTGGGAAAACGCACCATTATATTGCACATTGGTCCTGAAAGAAACAAAAGGGAGTCTACCTTAAATTGCCTTGTTTTTCCTCACTCTGCTCAACGATAGTGATTTTGAGAAACCATGACAGCGACAGGTATTGTATTGCTCATTAAACCTTTTGCTTAGCAATTTTGCTGTTGTGCTTTTCTTAAATTTCCTAGAACCAATCAACTCATTGCTATGAGGACACGTTATTAAAACAAAGAATGTCATCATCTAGGGGAGGCTGTTCTGATCAACCAACAAAATCTCTGATGTTACGATGATAGAAATGTGTGGCACTCATTTATGAGAGCTAACATTTCGATCAGTCTCTCTTACCTGCTTGTTCCTGTGTTCTGTGGTTTGATGAATCATCTTTTTCCTCAGATGTAGAATCAGCTTCACTGACCTCTGCCTCACTTTTTTTCAATTTATTAGTTGTGTTTGTTTCAAATCCTGCAGTAGATTTTTGCTTCACAGAATTAGTACTTTTTGAATGTTCATTCTGTGATATTTCGTTGCCTTCGTCACAGGCTCTTTTTGCCTTATTAGTAGATTCATCAAAGTTTATTTCTCTCTTAACTTCCTTTTTAACAGAGGTACTTGACTTATTATTGTTCTTTTGCGGTGTTTTGCGCTCCTCCTCAGAATCCGATTCACTAAATTCCAGGTCATCAAAGTCCTCGTCTTCGTCGTCATCACTGTTTTCTTCATTAAGTGCGGATGTTGTGCACGCCAGTGATGCTGCAATTGCGGCACGAAGTTGAGAATCTTCAGATGCATCTACAATAGATTCCTAATGAAACAGAACAGAATATAGACTCATTTGAAGGACCCTGTCAATGATCTGTCAATCTTAATGAAAGACTAGCACTGAAAAAGGCAAGAATACAATGTAACCACTAACACTGTCAATTTTCGGGCTGACTGATGTTTAAATGCAAGGCAGTTTTAAAAGCTTGAAAATTTTACAAAATCTGAATGGGCAAGGGTAGATTGATGGATGGCCTGCAAGGCTTTCTATTCAGCAATGTTTACCATGTAAAACTGCTTAATCTTTTAGACTGTAATAAAACTTCTCAGTCAAAATCCACTGGTCTTAAAATTGGTATGTATCCTTACTTATTAGTTACACTCTTTTTTTCTGAAATTAACTTCCTATTACATCTGTTTTGATTGACACGTTACATGACAGGATTCTACGAAGGGATTACAGAGTAAGTGATCTTGTCCTAATCTTGAGCTACTCTCACTCATTACTGTTTCCATAACAGATACTTTTTAACATGACAGGGTTGTTGGCCCTGTGCAAAACCCCCAACCTGGAGGACCAGTAGATTGCTCTTTATCTGGCCTCTAATCTTCAACCTGTCTAGCATGGCTGACCCTAACAGGACCTCAGGAGATCCACTGAGCCAGCATAGCTCTCCCCAAGCCTCCCCACGACATCAAGGTAATTGTGTACTTAGCTCAAGATTCCCTCTCCCGTTTGAATCTTAAGCTTAGTACAGAAGTATTCACTCTTCCCCCTCCCATCCACATCACTCTAGTCATTGGCTGGAGTTACTTACACTTCTTCTTTTCTTGGCTGGGGGTGTGTCTCCTTCCAGGGATGGGTGTTCTAAAAGAAATGCTGCAGCTGAAGAGTAAATTAGAAAAAGTCAAACAAGATGGTACAAAAATGTTGTAGAATAATAACAACTATTCAGTGGTACTGTTTATTATGTTGTACAAGGTGGTTCTAACTTATAAGTCTGTGGATGAAACCCTAGTGTGTGACCATTCAAATGAATGCTATTGAATGAGCAGTACTTTCATGTAGTACTGTTTATTATGCTGTCCAAAGTGGTTGTATTTTTTGTGAATGAAACCCTAGTGTGTGACACTTCAAATGAAAGCTATTGAGCAGTACTTCCATGTTGTACTGTTTATTATGCTGTACAAGGAAACCCTAGGTTGTAGCCTTTCAAAAGAGAACTATTGAGCAGTATCTATTTATTCAAATGTATCTGGTCTTGACTGTACAATTAGATAGTTTTTTTTCCTGTTTTCAACTTGGGCAACATGGGGAGTGAGAGAGGAAGAGAAAAAGGAAAAAAACATACCACATTCACAAAATGTTTGGGCATCCATAAAACCCCATTCAGCTAATTTCTCTCCTAAAACAAGGAATACATGTAAATATGAGCCATTTAAGCATTGAAATGGTGAACCTAATGTCCTTCATATGTGAAGAAATATCTCCCCCAATGGATAAGTTTTCCATTTAATTCAATAAAACCAGTGTGAATTGAATTTGTTTAATGCAATTTAGTAAACAAAAGGGACGATTATCACATTTCCAAACAATGAGAGGAAAGTTGAAAATATGGATCATGTGTACTAAAGGCATCTGCAGTCAAGTGTTGATTGATACCCTCAATTGGCCTGCGATTGACACTCGATCAACATCTCAAGCAACACTTGATTGACACCCGATCAACATCTCGATTGACGCTCCCTCAACAGTCTGTCAATCATCAGCCGAGTGTCGACCAACTCATATACATGTAAATTGATCGAAATTTAGTCGACTGTCGACCACGATGTTGATTGAGTGTCAATTAAGTGTCAATCAAGATGTTGATTGAGTGTCGATTGAGGGTATCAATCGACACTTGACCATGGATGCCTTAAGTACACATGATCCAAAAAATATGATGGAAAACAGATTGTTTTTGGCAAAATGTGAAGTATTTTGAATACTGGTCATTTAAGTACACTACAAAGAGTTAACAAAGTAGTACAACTGTGAAAAAATATGCTAATTAAGATGAGATGTTCCAGATTTGATTTGTATATGTAATAGGACTACATGCTGTCCAATTTGGAAATAATTGGATGAAAAAAATTCTGAGGACAGCCAAAATTGGACGAGGCAGCAGGCCAAGTCCAATTTGGCTGTCAGAGGAATTTTTTGAATCCAATTATTTCCAAATTGGACAAGCATGTAGTCCTGTTACTTATTAATTATATAGCTCGTGAGGTAATACAGCTTTGCAAGGAAAACTACAGCAACTGTCTCTGAAGAAAAACAGACTGGGTCCTCGATCTTTCGAAACTTGGGAAAGCTTCGAAAATATCTGGTGATCTTTGGAGATTACCAGAGATTGCCACAAGTCTTCTGAAATCCTGGGAAGTGTTTGGGTGATCTTCGGAAATCTTTGGAAGTGTTCGGGCGATCTTCGGAAGTACACAAGTGATCTTTGGAAATCTTTGGAGATGTTCAGGTGATATTCAGAAATCCTCGGAAGTGTTTGGATGATCTTCAGAAGTCTTTGGAATTATTCGGGTGATCTTCGGAATTCTTCGGAAGTGTTCGGGGGATCTTCGGAAATCTTCGGGAGTGTTCGGGTGATCTTCGGAAATCTTCGGAAGGTTTCGTGTGGCCTTCGATAATCTT